CCAAGAAGCATAAAATACCACCAGAAAACAGAGAGATGTTTTTGCATCAGAATTCCTCTATTCCTCACAGATCCATTACTCATCTCCACTAGATTAGTCACACTATTCATATGAGCAGAGGGCCATTGAGAAAACAAGTTCAAGTCACTGAACATAAACTTTAAAATAGTAAATAAAAATACTTACTTTGACCTTCATAATGTTCAAAGGGTTCCAGACAGATAGAGTAGAAATGCTCCACTGTGTGCTTTTCCTACTAGGTTTTTCCTATTTCTTGATCCTAGAAGCTTCCTCTCTGTGATTAATACATTCCCTCTCCTGTTCCTAAGGACAGGTTTCACCCTTTAAACTCTCTACTGCAGCTAAAATTTGAAATATGGTTTTCAGTTTACATGAGCAGAAACAAAAGTTTGGTCATAAAAGTTTGGTCATGAAAATTAATATCAATTATCTGAATTTTATGAAAATACTTTCAGAAAATTCATCAAATTCCAGATCCAGTTGGAAAAAGGAATGAAGTTTGCCTTAACAAATAACCTTATTCTCCTTAAAAAACTGAAATTAAAAACCCGACCCAAAAACATGAGCATTCAGTGTTTTTAACTTCCACATATTTTTTGCAAATGTCATCCATTTGGATCAGTCCATCAACTCTGACAGCTCCCGCAGTGTTTCATGCCTGTATTATCACTGTATGTTATGTAAAGGCACTGTACATTGTGTACACCTTGTACGCCCCCACCTCATGTACAGAAAAAAAATAAATCTATTAGTTTTAAGGAAAAAAAACAAAACAGCCTTATTTCATATATAAACAGCAGATATTTTTCTGAATAGCTAGTTCAAGCTGCTTTTGACAAACTAAAAATGCTATCTGGGTAACGAGAGAGCGCACTGAGCTTTTCTTCCCTTCACTCTGATTAGAAATGGGATCCACACCCCAGCTGGATATTTCCAGTTCATGCCCAGTAGAAATAATTTTCTGTCTTACTGCCAAACTTTGTCCCATGTGGCCAGCAAAGGTTGGACAATAGTAGTAACACAGCTTCAAGTAAAGAGCTGAAAATGATCCCCTGCAACCGGAGGCCTCAATTCTGCATAGTTTAATAATTCTAGCACCATGATTTAACTTCCTTTTTTCCTTTCAAGTCTGGAGTGCAAATTAATCGTATTGTCAATGCTTACGTTTCCTACCTCACTTATTTGCAGGGACATGTTCAAGTGGCATACTAGAAGGTTGATCCTACGGTCTATACTTAACTAGTAATCCTCATGCACACTAGTAACCCCATTGAATATCAATATAAGATTGCGGTGCCAGGGAAAGTTAAACAAATCCTGAGGAATCTGTTTTATTAGCGTTTATAGGATTTGTGTGTGTGAGCGTGTGTGTGTATACATCCACACTTGGGAACAGTAGTTACAGGAAAAAAAAATACAAGGGATTCCTCTGGGGACGATAAGAGCTGCTAGTTCTTGAGCTCATACCAATGCTGATGTTGCAGCCTGTAAATGTTAAAATATCTGATGATATTTTCTTTCCTGAGGAACTTGGTGGTATTTCTCACAGTTAATACATTAGCTAAGCACATCAGACAAAAGTTATGACCTGCACTGTGCTTGGCCCCACAGCCCTTCTCTCCCTAGCCTGGACCCATCTACCACTGTGTGTATTATATGAACACATGAGACAGAAACACAGGAAACCACACAAATGTGGAAGACCTGCAAAGGTGCTTATCCAAAGAGTTGACCAGCTGGTACCGGGACCACTTCCACAGACACGAGTGGATGCCCAGCCCTGACCTGCCTCCTGCCTGGGGCCTTCTTCCCTACCAGCATCCCTACCAAAACACACTGAGATCTGCAAACGGTGACTGAAGCTCCCCTGGAACCAACACACATACCCTCGCCGCGCAGTTGCTGGCTGGAGCAGCCGCCGCCGGGCAGGGGACTGGGGAAGAAGAGTGGGGGTAGTAGCGGGATGCGCACCCCATAGTGCACCGGAGGGGTCCTGCATGTGCCGGGACCAGCTCCCTCAGAGGGAAGCTACTTGCCTCCAAGATTACCCCTTCCCCCCAAAAAATAAAGGCGTTAACCCCCCTCCTTTTGAGCTTCTTCTTCAGCGCCTGCCCCGGCATCTCGCCTCCTAATGCTGGACACGCGTGTGCTGCGCGCCCCCCGGACCCGCGTAACACCTCACACGCATTGACATACACAGATACACAGACACACAGAGACATGCACACACGCGAGCCGTGGGGCGCGCAAGAGCTCGGCCGCGCTGCGCAAGCCCCGGTGCCTCCCGGCGCATTGCGAGACCAGCAGAGAAGAAGCTGCTGGTAGAGTTTGTTTGTGGGGTGCTGAAGGCTGGTTTCATCCACAATTTTCGTCTTTATTTTCCATTTTTAGTTTAAACCCCTGGGGGAGGAGCGAGGCAAAAGAAAAAAAAAAAAAAAAGACAAAAGGTGAAATATTCTTCTGCAACACAGCTCACCTGAGAAAGAAATGCTCACTTCCGAGTTCCCACCCGGGGCAGTTTCCCCGTTTCGAATCAGGGGAAAATGCTGTTAAGTAGCAGTGCTTTTGTGTGTGTGTGATTCAATAGCGCATCAGCGAAAATATGATATGCATATTTAAGTAATTAATTGTTTTATTTTTTCTCCTTCTTTCTTTTCCTCCCTGAAGGGAAGTTTCTTACTAAAACGGACGGAGGGAAGCCCGTCCCCGAAGGTCCCTGCAGCCACCTCGGACTCTCCGAGTTGAATATTGCGAATGCACCTCGACAGGTTTGAGCCACCCTTGTAACAACCGGGACTTTTCTTTTTCTGTCGGACTTAGGTTGCAAACATTCGCAAACCTGCCCTTTCTCCAAATCACCGTCGTTTGTTAGGAACATAACGTGCTCCCCTCTCTCTTGCCTTGGAGCCAATTTTTTGTCCCTATATGCTGTTTACAGGACACAGAAACGTCCCGTACAGTTTCTTTCTCTAGTTAACTATTGCGGAGCTTCCTGTATCGGACCCATTAGGACCTTCTTGAAATACAGATACTTTTCAACATATACATATATATATAATATTTTCCCCCATATATTTGTTGTTACCTGTGCTAATGAGTCCAGTTTCGGCCACGGGCGGAGGTTGTATTGACTTTTGAGAATTTCCCTGAAAGGCTGCAGTTCCTTTTCGACTGGTGGGGTTTTTTTCCTAGATTAATTTTGGTTTGTTTTGCTTGGCAAAAAGTCCCAGCCGGAGCATAATTCAGAAAAAAAAAAAAAAGGAAAACAAAAAGAAATAGAAATAGAAAAGTAGAAAAGGAAAAGGAAAAGGAAAAATTAAAAAATCAAGGAAAAAAAATGCGGCGGGTTTAATTGCCGCCTACATCTGCCGTCCCCAAAGCCAAAAGTGTCCCCATGCTACGGGTGACCTTGCGGGAGCGCTGCGAGGCTGCTCCTGTTTTGCGTGCGAAAAGGGCAGTACAGGAAGGTAAAAACCGGGTCACATCGCCTGGGCTCCCTTGTGCAGCCGTTTCTCTTAAGTTTTCCTTGACCTGGAAGCCAGCTTTAGCATAAACCCACCCGGGACGGCAGGACAGAGATCCTTTTCCCGGTCCCCTCGGACACGCCAGCAGAGGACGTGCGCGGTGCCGGGTACCTGCACTGGGAGAGCGGTGGATTTGGGAAGAGACAGGACATGAACCCGGGAGGAGAGGCCCGGGAGCCCCTCGAGGCTCCTGTCCCCCCTCTTGGCCCCACGTTTCAAGCGGCAAATGCTTGGAGGGGTGCCCCAGCCTCCCGCTCGCCACCCCCAAGAAGCAGTGCGGCAGCTGGCCTCCCGTGGCAGCACGTCCCAGAGAGACAGCCCGGGAGGGGAGAACCGGGGTAGCGATGAGGGCGCGGGGGGCCAAGTAAGTCCCGCTCGCGGAGACGGGGCCTCCGCCGGCGGCGGGGAGGTTAAAGAGCGTGGCCTTTCCCTCGCCAACGGCGGGCCGGGCCCTTTCTGGTCTAATAGGATAATTACAGAGGGGCGGGCGACCTTAAGCAAACACACTCGCCCGCCAGCCGGGGATTAATATTAAGGACCGGTGCATTGTGTTTTGCAAACGGGCGACCCCATCCTCCTCTCCGCGCCCTCCCTGTGCCCGCGGTTGTGGAGCCGAGTCCCGCTGGACTCTGCCCGCAGCTCTGCCTGGTCCCTCCTTTTCTTCACACCGAGGGTTTCCTCCACGCTGCTTCTTCAGTCGCCGCCTGCAGCCCAGCTTCCCCCAAGGGGCACTGGGTAAGGCCGGCTCCCCATGGAAGTGGGTTTATGTACGTGAGTGTCCCTACCGTCGTGCCCTCCGCAGCATCACGACGGTACCCTCGGAGAGTGAAGGGCTCCCATCGGGTAGGAGCCGAGTCAAAGCGTGGTCGGGCACGGCGTCGGCCGGGCGGGGGTTAGTCCTGTCTCTGGCGGGGAGGGGTGACCCGGGCACCGCTCATGTTGTAGCGGCCGCTGTGAAAACCCATGCAAAGTTGCACACACACACACATACACACACACACACACCCCGCGGTTACAGCAAGGCCAGGGCGCTCGGGGGAATTTCTTTACCTTCCCCCGAAGAGCCACTCTGGCGTTAAGCCCTGGTCAACAGCGGCCCCCCGGGCAGCGGAGTCACATCAGGGGCTGGTGAGCGGCGGCCGTCGGTACGGCACCGGCGAGGGGGTCTGCGGTGATCCGGAGCTCGGCCCCGCACTTTCCTTTCACCGCACTTAGAAGTGCGAGGAGGCACCCGTAAATATATATGGATGTGTGCGTTTGTAAATGTACTTACTTGCGTACATGCATATATACATGCATACTCACGTGTGTAATATACATGGAGTATATATATATGATGTTCATATATAGTATAAATGTGTGCTATACATGAATATGCATGTGTATACATGATACACACACACATAGGTGTGTTCAGGTACATTTTGCCCCTTCTACCCAGAGCGAGAGCAGCAAGGGGAGAGTGCTCGGATGACCTAATGGCGTTACAATGGGTCTGGTGATGGAGGCCCCACGCGGGTCACGGCCCCACGCATGCCCCGGCCCCAGACGGCAGCTGGGTGCCTGGTGGGGGGATACCAGGGCCCCCCAGGCGCCGCGGGGTCACGGCCGGTGCAGCAAGAGCCTACGTGAGCGACGGCAGGTTACGGGGGAAGGGACCGCGGGTCTCCGCCGGCTCTTCACTGCTGCAGAGGGAGGTCGGGGGGAGCGAGATGGGGCTGCAGCAGGCAGACGGCCTCCGCCCCCCGCTCCCCACGCCCCGGCCTTCCGTCCCATGGCAAGTGCTAATTGCAGCTCTGTTCTGGCTCCTCTGTATTTGGGTCCCTCGGAGGGCGCTGCGCGGGAGGACACGTCACGGATACATTATCCCCTCCCCTCTTGAGGCTCTCCTGGCTTTCTGCAGCCTTTGCTAAAGAATTAACAGAGGGGTCCACTTCAGAGTTCCTTCTGCCCTGAAAAAAAAAAAAAAAAAAAAAAAAAAACACAAAACCAAAAACCAAAACCCGGAGATACCGGTGCTTTCAGGCAAGGAGCGCAGCGGCTTGGATTTCCAAGAGGAGGGGAAATTTACTTTCGATCCTTGCCGTATGGTGAGGATCACTGCTCCTTGCGGGAGGTGAATGTAGCAAACCCTCTCTCTGCCTTTGAAAGGCACGTCTGTGCAAAGAGCTACCGCTTTAAAATTTAAATGCGTGACAAATAAGAAGAATAAAAAGAAACAATTCCTGATCTTGCAAATTCTTTTTCTTTAAAAGGAGGGGAAATTAAAAAAAAAAAAAAAAAGAAAAAAAAACAAACAAACAATAAATAAATCCAACAGAATCTATCCCGCGCCTTTGCCAGCGCTCGGACTTGTTTGGAAAGAGACAACGCTGAAGTGGCACTGGTCCCAAGGAAAACGGATCCTTTAATTTGACTCCGCATGAGAACCACACTTGGAGCTGGGCACAGCGGCCGGAGCGGCAGGAGCAGCCCCGCGGCCAGCAGCCCCCCGCGCCCGCAGCCCAGCCATCTACCCAGCCCGGCCACCGCCGCCGCATCGCGGGTCTCGGAGCCCCCCGCGCCGCTCCGCTGAAGCAGCCTCTCGAGGACGGGGAAAGCGTCGTTCTACCGCAAGACGCCGAGAGCTGGCCGAGAGGGAAGCGTCGGAAGAAAATGCGAGCCTGTGATTTCGGAGAGCTCCAGCCGCCAGCTCCCTCCGCACCGGCTTTGACTTTCGATTAGCAGGGGGCTGCCCCGCCAGCTCCTTGCTCGTCTCCTCGCATCGCGCGCTCAGGGACCACATCGTTTGGCACGTCGTTACACGAGCAGCTCGGTCTTTCATTATTTTCCTTTCCTTTTTTTTTTTTTTTCAAGAGACAAAATGTCCAAAAATGGTCCAGCCTGCTTAACCCAATGACTTCTTGCGTGGACGCTCTATTTTTAATATTTTTTTTATTATTTTTAGACGAGGCCGGATTGAGTAGAAATCCTTTATTGAAGGGGACCCGGTGATTTGTTCCCCGTTGCGGAGAAGATTCCGATCCCAGCTGCAGGCAGAGGACCGGGGTTCCTGTAGGTCTTTTAGCCTCTGTTTCCAAGAGGCGGATATCGCAGGGTCAGAACAGAACTGACTTCTTTTGAGAGCCTTGCCTGTCGTGGTTGCGGGTCAGAGATTGCCTCCCCCCTCTTCGCACCATTTCTGTTGCTGGTGTTTTTGTTTTGTTGGATTGACTTTTTTTCCCTCCCCGTTTTTTCCTCCCTTTATGCTTTTATTTTTTATTATTATAATTTGATTTGATTTGGGTGAATTCCCTCCTTCTCTTACTTAAACGAAAATACTAACTCTGAAGCCGAAATCCATGCCCCCTGCAATTCAGAAGAATCGGGTCTAATATGCCAGTGTCATCTTCGGCTTGCAGTAGTCGCGATGAAGGAAAAATCCAAGAACGCGGCAAAGACTAGACGGGAAAAAGAAAATGGAGAATTCTACGAACTGGCCAAACTCCTGCCTCTGCCCTCGGCCATTACCTCCCAGCTGGACAAGGCATCCATTATCCGCCTCACCACCAGCTACCTGAAAATGCGAGCAGTCTTCCCCGAAGGTAACCACCCCGGCTCCTCGGGAAGGGGCCGTCCGCCTCCCGCCCGGCCCGTACTGGAGGCATGGGGCAGACCAGCGTCCCCAAAGGGGGTTGAGGGAGGGGGAACACATAATCCGAGACAAGCCAGCATCTGAAGCAGGGTGCTTGCAGGGGTGCTAGCGAGGTAAAACCCGCCTTCAGTGGAAGGGAGCCGGCTTGCCGGGGCAGAGGCGGCAGCGCTGCCCTCTCTGCCCGAAAGCCAACGCGTGACACAGGGCTGGAGGGTGGGCTGCAAGGAGCAGCCCTGGTCCTGTGAGGCCTAAGGCAGATAACAGCTCGTTGCAGCCGCACGTGGGAAAACGAGCCTCTCCCCCCTCCCAGCTCCCGGGAACAGCGGCCGGTGGTGCTGGCTATGCGGGGACCCCAGCTGGCAGTTGTGCCGGGGTGGCAGCGGAGCGGGGGGGAGGGGGGATATCAGAGCCGTCCGGTTAATCCCTCTCTTGTCCCCGCTCCTCCTTTGCGGCAGGTTCAGCTCCATCTTCTCGGGGGGACCTTCCCGAGGAAAGCGGGCTCCTCTCGCTTCTGCTCTGCCCAGTGTCTGCTGCCCCGGGAGGCAGCCGGGCCGGCCCCTGGGGTAGGCCCCTCGGCACGGCGCTCCTGTCGGTGCCTAGGCACGGCCTCGGGGAGAAATACTGTGGGTGGTGGTGTTATTTTGTTTTGATTGGAGTTTTCTGGGGGTTGGGAAGCAGGCTGGGGAAAAAAGGCGCGGTGGCTTAGCAAGGGAGCCATCCGCCTTCTCCCGGGACCGGGGAGAGTGGGGGGAGACCTGTTCGATCCCAACCTGCCCCGAGCGGGGCCGGAACCCCGCTGCTCCCCACCTGGGACCATGAGGAGTCGGGATCGCGCAGTGCGGTGAGCGCCGGGGGTTTCTGTCGCTCTTCTTGGAGACACGGGGAGAGGAGGCCTGACACCCCTCTCTGCTCTCTTCCTTTCTTCCCCGGTGTTTGGTAGAAAACCGCCCCGGCTACCCTCGCACCCTACAATCCAAAAGGACGCAAGGTCTGGCCGTTTCGGACGAGGGGAAGAGGGGGGAAGAGGCCGGCAGGCACCCCATGGGAACCGTCGGCCCCCCGTTCTTTCCGTGCCGCCTCTGAGCCGTGAAATGAAACGCCGGTTAGCGTCTGCGGGTGGCTAAATAAAGCCCAGCTCCCCCCTTTGTCATTTGTTTGTGCCTCTCCGGACGGGGAGGGGGGGATGTTGAAGGAATTAGCAAATTCCAGAGTGCAAAATCTGCCTCTCCATCGCGGTTTCTAAGGAGCTTTATTAAGAGGCTGCAGATAAAATTAAATATATATATATGAAAATAAGCGTAGCGGAGGCGAAAAACCCCCACTCCCAAATCGAGAGAAGCTTACCGTTGTGTCCATCTAATTCAGTAATTTCGAGAGCATGTACTAACCGTGCTACGGAAAGCCAGGGCTCCTTTGGCTTGTGCTCCCGCAGTAAGCTCGGTTAGAGGAGCAAGGGGGAACGACGCGCTGCTCCGCTGCGACTTCCAGCCATTATCCCCCATCGGGGAATTTCCCGATGAGAAATAGAGAGTCGTAATTTCGGGGGCCGCTCGCCGGCCCTGGCTGGGGAGCATGCCCTCCAATGGCTTTGATTTAGGAGGGAAGAAAACTGGCGCATTTCGAGATGCTGCCGGATGTGTCCCTGCTTTTGCAGCCTTACTGATCCTCAAGAGCAACAAGACGACCCCGAGAGCAGGTTTATACCCACAGCTCGGGTGTGTTTTATGTGTCTGTCTTCCTTAAACAGGCCGGGCGTGAGCTTCCGCACACTCTGCTTATTAAGAGCAATGTTTAAATGCATAGAGCGAATTCCTGATCTTTCATCGTCTTAAGTACGGGTGGAAATACGTTTAAAACCAAAGCTTTGCATCCAGGGATGACAGGCCGGGGAATAACTGCCTCCGGTCTCCGAACCTTGCGTTTAGTGGCTGGGAGGGTGAAGGGTAGAGAAGGAAGCCGGACAGGTGGCTGCAGTAGGGTGCTTGATGCCGGGCGCGGTGATGCCCGACGGCACACAGTCCTGCAGTATCTCAGTTTCCGTTTCCCTCGAGATTTGTCTGCGGAATGAGGGGAAGAATGTTCTTGCCCCCCATACCCAGCTGGTGGTTTTCAGTTGTCTTTACGGAGGGGGGGGACGGGGACGACAAGGAGGCGGGGACCTGAGAGGGCTGCCCGGCTCCGCATCTTAAATTCTGGGGCAGAAACCCCTGGGGAAAAAGCCCCTTAGAGCACGCTGGAGCAGATGGGCTGGGGGGGGGGGGGGAGGACGGGACACCAGATGGGAATCCATGTCCGAGGTCCTGGGACTTGAAATAAAGGTGGGCACGTAACAGCCCCCTTGCCACCCGCCGGCCTCTGCTGCCCAAACACTGAGAGCCACGCCGCCCCGCTCCCCCGGGGAGTCATCACATAGAGGCTTCCGCCGCCTGTGCAGCGCTCCGGGTCTCCCCAGCCAGCTCCTGAGCATCACCTCTTTAAGGCTGAAGGGAGTTTATTTCTTCCAGCCCGCGGTGGCAGGGTAGGGGAGAGGCCTGAGACGCCTCCAGCATGTGCTAGGCCCGTGGTGACTGCAGCCAGCATGATCAGGAACGTTGTCCAGCTATAGAACTGGCTTCCAGCTCTGTCTAGACTGGAGGGGAAGAGAGAGAGGGAAAGGTCTGTTTTTAAAAACTCCAGTGGATGGCTTCCCCTCCCGCTTTATTTCCAGAGCAAGCTGACACATAGTTTAGGCAAAGTTTGGAACCCTCACCGCGGCGTCTGGTCGTAGCGCTTCGACGGGGCTTGTGAGGGTGTTTAGACAGGTCTCCCCCTGCTCGCTCCCTCCAGGGTTTTCCCAGATATGCACATTTTGGACTGAACTCACAGGTTTTCCCCGCGGAGGAGCCCGATTAGGCTGCAAGAAAGGAGATTTCTGTTCTCGTTTCTACTCTTTTCTCCGCTCAAGACGCGGAGAAGGCACAGTTTTTGGCTCCGAGATCACAAATACGCGGTGTCTGTCTGACCTTCAGATTCATGAAATAAAGACCAGGAGACGGCAACCTACAGCCTCCCCCGCGCTCCCGCTCTGTAAGATCGTCTTCTCTAGTGTTTTGACTTTTTGCCAAGGCATTTATTGCTGTAGAACAAAAATACACCACGGGACTTCTGTCTTGACAGTCAGCATTTTATGTTTTTGTTTGCTTTGGCTTTGGGTTTGTTGTTTTGTTTGGTCTTTTTCTTTCTGAAAATGAGCTAATGAGAGGAAGAGAAGAGAGAATAAATCGCTTTCAAAACCCGCGATTCTCTGCCCAGAGGCAGATTGGTTTAAATTGTGACCCTGCCCCCATCCTCGACGCAGTTGCCAAAACTGACTGTAAAACTGCACATTTATGGATCTTTAAAGCGGATGGGAACAAGCTGATTAATAAGTGTCACAAAAGGTAATGTGCACTATACAAAATGACCTGAATAAAATGACAGAGCGATAGATCTTAGATGTCTTCCTTACGCCTAGACGCAGACAACAGGAATTACTAGAAGCATCCAGAGTTTTCGGTCCCTATTTAAACCTGGCGGTGAATGTATATTTTAAGAAAATCACTGAGAATTGCAGTTATTTCATCTCATTTTCATACTCGGAACAGGCTCATTAATGAATTAAATAAATAAATAAGCCCCAGCCGACGATGTGAGTATTCCCTCCTCGAAACCCTGCCTCTATTGTACTAACCTCTAATAGTGGCATTAAAGGTCTTGCTAAAACAGAAGTGCCATTAGGGCTTCCATGGAGCTGCGCGGCCGTTCCCAGGCGGAGGGAGCCGCAGCCGGCCGCAGCATTGCGGAAACGGGCGGCAGCGGCGGCGGCGGCGGCGGTGGTGGTGTCGCCGCTTTGGCCTCTCCTGCCCTGATGCGAGGGAGGGAAGGAAAGGGTCACTGGAGTGCTAGCTGTCCTGAACCTGTTTGTCTTGCGCCCGCTTTCAGGCCTGTTAATACGATCTGGTGTTTCTGGCTCGCCGGGAAGAGAGAGGTTTGGGCCGGGAAGAGCCGGATTTGGGTTTGTACAGGTGTCCTGGAGGGCGGCTGGAAGGCGGTTTTCTTGTGGAATTTCTTTATTTTATTTTATTTTATTTTATTTTATTTTATTTTATTTTATTTTATTTTATTTTATTTTATTTTATTTTATTTTATTTTGTGTGTGGCTTGTTTTAGTGCTTGTTTTGGTTCTGATTTTTTTTTTTGTTATCTCTGGGACTTGGTTTGATTTTTGGTTTCTTTTCTTTTCTTTTCTTTTCTTTTCTTTTCTTTTCTTTTCTTTTCTTTTCTTTTCTTTTCTTTTCTTTTCTTTTCTTTTTCTTCTTTCCTTTAGTACTTTTTTTTTCCCCTTTAAATTAAATTCTTGCTCTTTACACCCACCGCTCCCGTCGCCCAGCTCTCGGCCTCCTTTCCAGCCTGTGATGCTGAATTTCGCAGAGAAGGCAGGTGGCCCGGCAGATCCCTGCCGAAGTTAATCTACCGCAGCCTTTCACCTTCCCAAAGCGACCCTGGCAGGGAAGCCTCCCTTGCCTAACAGAGGTTATCCCCGCCGCGGCCGGCGGCTCCCCTTCGGCTCCTGACCCGGCCCGGCCTCTCGGCCCCGCTTATCAAGCAGCGCGACCCCCTGCGCCGTCGGGGATGAGATCCTTCGCCCCCTGCTGCAGTGGGGGCTTGGGGCAAGGTGTCAGCTCTGCTGGTTGCCCACGCCACGAGCTGCCATACCGCATCCTTCTCCTCATGCAACCCAATGCCCGGCCTAAACGACGGGGACAAAGTCAGACCGAGGGCAGTGGCCGCCACTTCCCCGTCCCCGGCAAACGCCGGGACTGGCAGCTCGCCGCCCCCCCCCCCCGGTAATTTCCCTGTTGCTCTCCTTGTCGAGGAAGGCACAACCTCGCCGGGGAGAAATCCCCCCAGGAGAGGCCGCCCTGAAAATCCCGGCGACTGTAGCTGACCCAAGGTTCCATGTGAAGGATGGCGATTGAACAGCGCTGGGGGACCGCACGCTCCGGGGGAGTACAGCAGACACAGAGGAAATACTCCACGTTACAGGGCAACCCGATACTTAATACATCGCTAAGTAATTCTTCTAGCAGAATCCCGAGCAGAAAAGCTACCGGGCTTTCAAACGTGTGTGTCTACGAATTTATGTATTTGGAGAGCAAAGGTGGGAGTTGTTCCCAAGTATTTCTAGATCTTATTACAGTTTAACTCACCCTCCGCCCTGGAAACTGGGAAACAGTACAAAGTGAATGTTGAGGTACTTTGAAAAACAGCCAGAGATGTTAAAAGGCTGGGGCTGGGGGGGAAAGTCGTGCCCGGGTTTGACGAAGGGAGAGGGACGCGTTTGTATGAGAACCACCACGTCTTTCAAAGGCAGAAGCAGCAGTAACTTCGGGGGGGCTGTGCAAACGCACCTCTCTGTCCCTGGGAAGCCGCTGTCGGAGCCAAATCAGCCGCCCGGGGCGGGGGGAGGAGGTGTAGGGCTGGCGGGGAGAGTTGCGATTAGGGCTGGTTATTTCCCCCTTGGTGATGCCTGCCAGGCAAAGCGCCGTGCCCGTCCTTGTCCTCCCCGGTGGGAACGGAACCCGCGGCCGTTACAAACCTCAGTAAATGGAGGGAAACGAGGAGAGGGGCTCTTATCTATGTTTGCCGACGGCGGAATGTCAGGAGGGAGGAGGTTGTGTCTGAGACCGACGAGTCACCCTCTCCGCAGGCAGCGCTTCGCCGTGCCAGCTCCTGCCCACTGAGCCCGGCGCTGGCTCCCCGGGCTTCACGCTACCGGCAGCGTCTGGAGCCGGCCCGAACCGCTGGCCGTAGGCGATCCAATACTCCCAGGCACGGCAAAGTGGCTGTGGTCGGGAACCAGCCCATCCTACGAGTCTCTTAGCACTTGCGGGAAAGATGCTCGCCCCAGGGAAGCGGCTTTCTGGGCCAGAGTCGCAGGTAATTCGTACTACAACGGTGCAGTTTTAAACATTTCCTTTGAAATGACCTGTCCGGCACGGGCTCACATCTGTGACGGATACCGGTATTCCTCCCCACCGGAGAGCCCTTCCTGGCCGGGGCCGCCCCAACAAATCCCTTTAGTTTGAACGATGTAGGAAGCGCTCGGTTTGACTCGGGAGCTCTTTTGGCTTCTCTCCAGGCCAGTGAGTGAAAATGTGCCTTATCCCTGCGCTGAGCAGGAGAGGCTCGGCGGAGCCTGTTGCATCTGCATATTTGCAGGATGTTTGCAAATCTCTCGGAAGACAAGTTAATGGGCGTCAGCCCTTTATCTAAACGGAAGGTTTTATTCTTTTCGTTTCCACCTTTAAAGCGATCTGCTGGTGGATTAAACGATAAAATCATCGGCTTTAAAATAAGCTTCGACGAATGCCAAGCTGATCCAACAAATACATTTACGTTTGATGCGAGTTCACAATTGCAACTCCAATTTAAATACTCAAAGGGAACAAAGCTGACGAAGTGACTTTGGTTGGGTTGTTTTGTTGTTGTTTTGTTTTTCTTTTTTTTTGGGGGGGGGGGCGGGTTAGGAAAGAATCCCCCAAGTAGTGAAGAGTTGGGGGATACTGTGAAACCGTACCTGGACAGAGCAGGTTGCCACCCAGAAACACGGGAAACACGGATCGGTAGTGAAAAGCTTCGTCGTGAGTGCCTCAAAGAGTAAATCTGCTTCGTCTTTCGGAAAGTTAGGTCTCTTTTCAGGACAGTTTTTATACAGCTATGTGTAAGCCCCTTTGTAGGGTTACAATCCCGTGTTTCGGGATTTGCAGTTAGTAAATAGAAAGAAGGGCAAGCCACTCAGCACTAGGACAGGCTCTCTTGTTAGAGCTTGTTACCATCTTGGGACAGAGGCTGCAGGATGTTCCTGCCGTCCTCAAACTTTCCGACTGGGGGCAATCATCGTTTCAGCTGAAATAACATTTTGACGGCACCCTGGAAGTCAGGAGTCTTCTCCAAACTGTGAATTGGGCAACTGCGCTAGAAAAGTACTACTTTTCGTTTGGCTCTTCAAAGCGTTTTTCTTAGTGCGTGGCCAAGCACTTCTCCGGGTGAAGGGAAGGAGTAATTCCCCGACCCACAGGGAAGCGAAGCCGCACACTGGGCATTTCCGCGGCGCGGTATGGGGAGACACGCTGGGTATCCAAGGGAAGCCCCGAAAGCGGGAAGAAAAGCTCCCGCCGTTTCTACTCCGGGGCTACCTGAGGACACCCTGCCAAAGGATCCCTTGATCCGTGTGGGATTCAGGAGGGGTGTTAGAAAACACGCTCCGTGACCGGAGCTTAGGGCAGTGCTTCCCGCCTGGGTGCCAACTTCTGCCTCCCGAAACGGAGGCGAGAGGTGCTCCCGCTGCAGCGCCTTTGCCCTTGAAAGCTTTCAGTGGGACGTTCATTTGGAGGCACCTGATCGGTGAGAGAGGACCGGAGGAAAAGCTGGCGCTCAGCTTCCTGGCGGCACAGCAGTTTGCAGGGATGCCGGGGGCTGCCCGGGCTAAAGGGTGCAGGGCTGTGCACCCATTGCATGCTGTAGACGGGACTCCCGTGCAACCCGGGAGCCAGCACAGCCAGGCTGGCAGCACCGAGCACCCCCGCCTCCCACCTGACATCGTCCCTCGCAGAGCCTCTCTGCTGCAGGGAAGCACGGGCAGGAACACCCTTAGGGCCCCGTGGCCTCTCAGTAGCGGTGCTGTGGCCCCGAGGGCTGTCCTTTCTCTGTGAAAATGAGGCATTAAACGGATGCGGTCCCGTCCGTCCCTTTCTCCTCCTTTCTCTCCCCATCTGTGCGCTGCTGCGGGCAACGGCACGCTGCAGAGCCTGCCATCAGGTTCCGGCATGAGTCTTCAGCTCTTCGGCTGGCACGAGTAGTGGGGAGCTGGTGCAAGCCTCCTTTGCATGGAAGAAATGCAAAACAAAACACCCACAGATCTGTCTTCCCGTCCCAAGCCCTTTCCTGGCACAGCTCTATCAATAGCCTCTCGCTGTCACCAGGGCAGTGACGGGCTCTCGTCGTCCGCAGCCCGCCGGGCAACGCTACAGAGGTGCCGGGTCGGGGTGGTTGGGTCAGCGGGGCAGGGGCTCGGCGAGGTCCGGGCTGTCCACGGGCAGGGGCAGTCGGGGCGAAGCTGTGCAGTCGCTCCGTCCTGTCAGTGCGCAGGTGAAGAGGTCGTCGGGGCAGTTTCTCGCCAATTGAGCCCCGGCCCTCTTTAACCATCTCAGCACCCTCCCCAGGAGTGATCTGCCTTGGCCAGCATGGGAGTCGTCGGCATCGGGACTTTTGCAGGAGCGGAGGGCAGTGAGTCCGGGTGCCGGGGCCCGTCCTGCCGCACTTCCCACGGGGAGCACGCGTGGCCGGGGCAGCAGTTGAAGAAGGGAGAGTGTCTCTCAGTTCCTTGTGCCCTTCGTGTAGGAACCCTTCTCTGGTTTGTGCCTGGGGAGGCTGCGAGAGAGCCGGGTGCTTCGCGACTGCCTTCAGGGCGGCTTGTCCTTCAGGTTCTCAGTGTGTGGCCTGCCTTCCTCTTCACTCACCCTAGACTCTGGGGAAGCAGGGATAGACACAGTGCTGCTGACAGGAAGGTACCGGCATGGCGGGCGAGGGGAAGCGGTAGGGGAGCGCTGGAGGGCGGCGGTTCTCCGGGGAAGGAGAAAGTTCATCCTTGGGGAAGCCGTCCCCCCTCGGAAATAAAGTCCCTTCCCACGCGTGTGTGTAGAAGGGAGTCAGCCTTTTCCACCTTCTGAACCCTACGCCGGGGCCTGGCCCGCTTCCTGCGGAACAAGGGGTGCGGGCGGGTGTGGGCAGCTCGTGTCCTTCTGGAGAGGCAGGGGGCCCGGCACCACTTCCAGCTCTAACCAGCTCCTTGCTCTTGCAGGTCTGGGCGACGCCTGGGGACAGCCAAGCAGGATAGGGCCCTTGGATAACGTAGCCATGGAGCTCGGATCCCACTTGCTTCAGGTAGTGGACCCCTTTCTACTCTCGTGTTGGAAACCTGGTGTTGTGGGTGCTACCAGTCTCCTGCCTCTTCTCTACCTCCTCTTCTTCCTCTCCTCAGCACCACGACAGGAGGCTGGGTGAAGCCTTCCTCTTACTCCCCAGCCTCACACCGGCTTGGAGGGGAGAAAAAACGAGACACCAACAACTTCAGTTATTATACCACTCCCGCCCCTACGCCTTTGATATTAGTAAGAGGTTGCAGCTTACCGTGGCACTGATCTGTTCTCTGTGCACAGAAAGTGTCCCCAAGCAGCAAAAGCGATAGTCAGACTCCTCCGAGCTGCTGGGGATGTCCCGCCGGCAGCCTCCGACCGGTGGCAACGGGGAGCGCGGTTTAGGCTGGAAGGCCGCTGGACACCCGGGAACGGGATCACCTTTTTCCGCCAGTGGCTCTGGGGAGGAAACCCGCGGAGAGGGCAGGGCTCCCAGGCAGGGGGCGAACGTCGGGGTGAGATTCCCCGTGGGAGTCAGCACCTGAACGTACCGTTCTTCGCATCCCCGCTGATCTGCTCTGGTATTCCTCTGAGCTTCCTCACACACACTCCCTTGAATTCCCCTCCCCACACTCCACATAGGAGAGTTTAGGAAGTGGTAGCCGGGGAAAAAAGGTAAAATACTTTTAGCTCCATTTTTTTTTATACGTGAACTTCATACAGCAAGGGTCCATCTCCCCCAATTTTAAAGACCTAGTAAACTGTAATCGTTTAACGGCCGCTTTTATTGTAGGAGGTTAATTCCTGGTCACAAAGCTGGAGCTGTTGTAGCTGCACACTCTGCTGGGGATACAAACCTCAGCGTAAACCCCGTTCGGTTTCTGTGACAGCTCCCCCCTTCCCAAGTTCGAGCAAGCCGCCAACACCGGCGGAGGTGAAAAGGCAGCGCCGTGGGCTAGTAGCCGGCACCTCGCTGTGCGAAGTCCTCCGGCATTTGAAACTAGTTGTTACCGAAGCCCTGCAAAATATCACCCCTTCTCCTGCGCTTTCGGCAGAGTGATGTGAAACATGCGGTACTGACCACATATAGTCCATGGAAATCGATAAAGTTGAAAGTTACCTCATGTGAAGGTATTCAGAGCTTTGAAAACGTTGTGTGGCTGCTGTCCTGCCAGACATTTCAAAATCACTAGTGTACCTAGAAAATACGAAACTAGTTATACCATAACTGTTGTCACGTTTGCTCCTCCTCCATGTCAGCTATTTCACATTTTGCCTGGCATTAAATGAACTTCAGTAACATTATATGCTAATCACCTGTAATACTCATTTTACAGTTCAGTTATTTCTGAATTATGAATGCTTCACATTTTAATAAACACATATTTGCCACAAACGTCTTTTAAAGGTTTTTAGAATGAAACGTTACATGCAAAGTTTCAGCTTCAATATACTTTTCTGCATAGGCAAGTTAGAGACCTACTGCACCATATGATGCAGTAGTGGAAGCATTGACATGGTTTTAGTTATGATACTGGGTAGCACAATTGCAAAATGACTGTTTAAAAGCGAAGTTATGGGTAAGGGTGCAATAATTTATTTCCCATTATAATACTTCTACAAAATTTAATTTCTGTTCAAAAAAAAAAAAAAAAGAGGGAAAAAAAGAAAGTAAAGGCAAGGAGTAATCTGGTTTCAATTACGTGCTGTACAATCGTTAGTAGGCCAGAGAATAATTTGGAATACTTTCTTATTGGGGCAGCACTGTAAGAGCATGAAGCATACAGGATTTTATTAATTCTCTCCTGGTTCAGTAACTTAAAGATGTATTAAAATAAGCATTTGTTTTATCTGTGTACTGTAAAAATGATTTTTCTCTTCCAAATAAATTTTCCAGTGATATTCATATATGCATCAATCAGAGCTTCCTAAACTGGTTAGTGGTAATGGATACTTTTTGACTGAGGATGTAAGATATTTAAAAAAAAAAAGCCTCAAATTAGGCACTGAAAAATCAAGGTACCCCCAAACTGATAGTTTATAGGTCCAAATCATGGTCAGTTTTGCCTAACCTGTACTGTTTGCACCCTATTATTTTTCTTGTATGGATCATATAAGACTAAATTAAATTTCAGTTTTTACTCTCATAAGTAATAATCACTTTCCAGTCAGTATCCCATCAATATCAATTAGTAGGATTAGATCTCAAGTCTGCATTGTGTGTTGCCTATTTTTTGGTCCAGATTCACAGAGTATATGGCTATAGCTTAATGAGCATAAGTATCTCTCTTCAAGTGTGATAAAGTTTTGAATGCTGATTTATTTTACTTTCTTTTTCTAAGTTCATGTAGTTACATAGCAGATAGCCCTCTGTTCAGAAAGACATTATTGAAAATGCAGTCAAAGAAATTTAAAGCATTGCTCACAGTATCCTTAAATATTGCAAATAGTGGTAAGCTGTGCCTGCCAATTATACCATAAAAAATGGCTTGTGTAGTAGTAGACTTTCCCTAAGTACCACATAGCTCAGGATTTGTGCTAAGTACTAAAATAACTAGAATTAACAGGAGAATGTTAACATAAAGTGAAGCAGTAGAGCTAGCATCTGTAGGGGGAATGAACTGGGTTTTGCAATGTGTGCATGTGTCACAGCGTTTGTAGGAACAGCATCAGATAAAGGTTTCTGTTCCTTAAATTTTGCTGCTATTTGCTGCTGTTGAAGTTGGATGGCAATTTCTCTCCAAAAGACTTCAAAAACTTTTTTGGCTGTAAATGGTTTAAACAGAGTGCTTGTTTTTTAACATATTTATCTTTTTTTCAGACTTTAGATGGCTTTGTTTTCGTGGTAGCATCAGATGGCAAAATAATGTACATCTCAGAAACAGCATCTGTACATCTTGGCTTATCTCAGGTAGGAGTGATGTATTCTGTCCGTCTATTAAATACAGATATTACATTTGGAACCTAATACTGGTATGTTGCCACGTATATAATGACATTGTTTTCTAGGTGTATTTGAAGGTTCAACTTTATTCTCTGACAAATGGCATTACTTAAATATTCAAGTTTCCTTTACTTACAACCACATCATGACTGTCTTTATATCTTTTCTTGTTCATTGTATTTTACTCCTCATTACCTTTAAGAAGGGTAATAAATAATATGATATTGCAAATTGCAGATATATACAGAGCTTGAAACCCAAACCTATTGCCTGCATGGTAATGCTATACGTCTGAAATAAAGTTTAGAATTCAAGTCTATATGTTTTAAATTGTGTAAGATATTGAGACTTGCTATGAAATAGAGAGGAAATCTGATGTGGAACTTGAGTTTTATGGTAAATGTGCTTTAGGAGAAAAAGAAAAGGGGGGCAGATTTATGAGTGCTCACATGGAATTCAGGGTAGTTTTTCCTGAGTTTTTCCAGCTCAGCGGTCTTTTCAGTAAAGCGTTTTATATGGTTGTGATAGAACTCATAAAACTCAGTTTACTACCGTTCTGCACAAGAAGTATAAGGGGGTTTTATTGTGTTTTTTTTTTCTTTTTTCTTAGAAGGACATTTCTAAATTTTTACCTTTCTGGGATAGGTACGAGGACAAATAGCTTGAATTTATTGCAGAGTGCAAGTTTCCCTACCTTTGTGTGTAAACATATTGCACAAATTCATTGGTAACACCTGACAGAAAGCTTGCCAAAGTCCAATGGAAAAATCCCTAATTAATTTCACTGGGCCCTGGATGTGACTTGCAAGAAACAAAAGTGTTTATTCAGAATCCATTGTGTCTCAAACACTTCCCAAAAATAAAGGGAAGACTTAAAAGCAGAGGGAAGAAGGAGATGAGAGAGCAGGATGTTCTGAAAATGTCGGGGGAATATGCCGTGTGGCTCTTCAATAAACAGAGAAGGGTCTGAGTTGTGGAGATTATATGTGTACTTCAACTTTGGTAGTAACTAACTTTTTTTAGTTTAGAAGAACTGTGAAGTCCTTTGGGTGTGTGTTTGTAATAGTGATATTAGAATTAGTACCTGTGAGAAAAAATAGAACTCTAAATAGCTAGAAAAAATGCAAATATGTAATGTCAGAAACACAACTTCTAATGGCAAATAAAGTCCCTGTTTTTGTAATCTCTTACAGAAAAAGTAATTTTGAGAATCGGCGTTCTATGTAGCTACTTTTTTTCTGCCAACTTTAAAAAATGTGTCCAGGGAACATTCTTAGTCCAAGCAGTTGGCTCAGTTGAGTCTGTTACAGTATAGTATTAGTTGCTTCATAACATTTAATGCATGTTCAAATTACTTTGAATATTGCTGTTTTGGATCAAACTGTTCTAGAGAACGGCTTTATTTTCTGCTCCGAATCAATAGCCTTATTAACAGTTCTTCTCACCCTAACTTTTTTAAAAGTTCCACCACACTGCTGACTGCTAGAATAGATTAGTCAGTACAATTGTTCCAAAGCACTGAGTGCTCCCACCTGTCCTTGCTGAAGTAGAGTCTCGTTGTCCCACGCTGCTTGCTGTTTGAAGAAGTGCTAACTGATCTTCCAGGTTTTGTCCAGAAATTGTTTCTTTCTCTTCTTTCCTTTTAAGGAACGTCATATCATCAGATCTTGTAAGTCTCAGTATTATTCAGTGATCTGGTAAAAGTAAAGAGCTATGGGATCAGTAGGGCACTAAACAGACTTTGCTACATTCAAGGAGAGGGAACTGAAAGCATCACACAGGCTTTAGTCATACTTAGCCCTCATGCCCTTATGGCTATTTGCACAGACTGAATTCCACATGCATTGCATATGTAAATACCTATAAAACCTCAGTGCAAGAGGTGCTGAAAATTAGAGGATTTGGTCATATTGCTTATTGAAGTAAGTTTCATAAGCAAAATCACAAATAATTTACTTTAGCAGAGATTTGTAAATGAATGGGCTGTATCCTTGAACTCCCCAGAGAGCTACAGATCAGAGAGGACAGAGGGATGTCAAATCTGAGGGCACGTTTTAGACTCTCAAAACACTAAGTTCTCCAGCAGTTTCACAGCACATAGTTTATTTACAAATACAAAATCCCAGCTAAACAAGGCAGTGGGTTCAACCCCCACCCCCCATCCCCCCACCCCCCATACTGTTTTAGCATCTTAACTCTTTTTGCTATGTCTCAATGTTCTATTTTCGAAGGGACAATTTTGCTTTAAATAGTACTAGCATTAATACTAGGCTACTCCTATGTACTAGGATATTAATACATTAACGCTAGGATGTTCCTGTAAGCTTCCCAGGGCTCTAAATGAGTTCTTGTTCCTACTTCTCTGGAAATCACTGGGAGTTTTGCCACTGCCATCAGCAAGAATGAGATTGGTCTGTAGAAGCAAATTCTACAAGCCTCTCTCACCGAGTCATAATCCCACACTATATTCTCAACAAGTGCTCTCATACAGCTCCAGCCAATACAAGCTGAGACCAGAGTGATGATGATTGTAGAAAATCTTTTAGGGTGCGCATAGAAAGGCCCTTTTATTAAATAACTTGACAATTAAATGGTCCACACACCGATTTCCAGTTAAAGTGCAATTTGTTTAAAAATATATATTTAAACTAAATTAAAAAAAAATCCATTTAAAAATATTTTGCAGGATTTTCTTGGAGACCTACTACAGTAGCCTTTATCTTCTAGTTGATCTTGAATTTAACTTCAGCAGAAAGAAATTAGAGCTTCTGAATAACCCTTCACTGGCTGGTGTAGTTAAGCTAGTTTAAAATTCAAAACCAACATTAAGGATTGTTTTTCAGCACTGCTTTACTCATTTCTGTCTCCAGCATCAGATAATCAGAAACAATACTTCTGACTAGGCTGCATCTTTACTTGTGGACCTATCACTTAATCTGTGGCTTTGGATTTTGATCTGCCTTTGCTCTCAGTTGTAATGATAAATATTGTAAATACTGATACTTAGGACCCCCTCCTCCATCAAATTTTGATTGGCCTCAGACTAGCGTTGAACTGACTTATACTACCTGAGAGAGCCAATTCCTTCTCTCTTTTTTTCATGGATAACAAATAGGTTCAAATTCCCCAAATACTTTTTTTCCCTTAGGGTCCAAAGACACAGAATGGAGAGGAAAATCCTCTTAGGAAACAATGGTGAAAGATACATACATATACACCTACATATATATTTGATTTTGAAAGTCTGAAGCTTATTCCAGCCGTTTTCTAGGCCCATGAGTGAGCCAAGCTTATCTTTGACTTTTGATAAGTATTGAAATATTTAACCACAAACATCTGAACTTTTCAAAAGTTTATTTTTCTTTCATCAAGTAAGTATATGAAAGGCAAAATATGTAATTATTTGCTCTAGAATCCATCTACTTGGTCCTCTGTGTTTATTATGAATCATTTCTTGGCAGGAAAAAATGTGCAGCTGAGTTACACATAAAAAACCTCTTAGTAGGAAACAGCAATATTTGGTAGTAAGCAGGTATTTACAGATATTAAAAAGCTGCATCAAGGAAGCTGGTTTAATAAGCCTGAGGTTTATGAATTCAACCATATAATTTATTTTTGTAAGTTTTCAGTGTTTCATTGTAGGCTTTAAAAGGGCTTGCATGCATTATGTGTAGCAGGAGACTGTGGTCAGCTTCAAAATTATGTATACATATTTTGGTTATTTGACTCTTATGTAGCCCCCATCTCTTCACTGGCAGCTTTATGTTTCCACTCACATTTTTACGGTCAATTTTGGTTTCAGTGTTGTATGTTCACCTCCTGCTGATTTTGCTGGGGTTGCAAATGCATGCATCAGAGTAGAAAATATTCCTATGTGTGTAATGAGAAAAACTAGTCATTAGTTTAACAAAGCACTTTAGTTCTGAAATTTAGGTATAAGCCCTGGAAGCGAATTACAGTTTGGATAAAACTATGACCTTGGGTTCAGTCCTGTGAATTCTGTGAACAGACATGTATTTCTGGAAGTAGCCCTTTTGAAATTGGTAGTGACTTTTGGAAAAGCAAGAGAGACCCATGAATTATACTTTGTAAGAGAGCAGATGCACGTTGATGTGCTTATGAATATGCTCGGTAACATCAGAGATGCAACAAGATTGTCTGGATTGCTACAGTTGATGCTGCTAGTCAGGTTGGCTGATACTGCTTTTGTAAGAAACTCCTTGTATTGAAGGAACAGGATTTTTGTGTATAGCCACCCATAAATGTTTGCATTTTTTTGGAAGCTGTATTCTCTGATACAATTATTTTAATTTCAAAGGCAAAACATGCTCTTCAGCAAAATCACTATTAGTCAAAGACAAAATAATAAGAACAGGGTCACAAATGATACTCCTTTCAGTCTGAAATTTGACCACAGTGTTACTTTTCTTCTATGATAATTTTTTTTCACAGAATCATAGAATAGTTAGGGTTGGAAATGACCTGAAGACCATCTAGTTACAACCCCCCTGCCATGGGCAGGGACACCTCACACTAAACCATGTCGCCCAAGGCTCTGTCCAGCCTAGCCTTGAACAGCGCCAGGGATGGAGCATTCACAACTTCCCTGGGCAACCCATTCCAGTGCCTCACCATCCTCACAGTAAAGAACTTCCTCCTTATATCCAATCTAAACTTCCCCTGCTTAAGTTTTAACCCATTATCCCTTGTCTGACCACTACAGTCCTTAATGAAGAGTCCCTCCCCAGCATCCCTATAGGCCCCCCTTCAGATACTGGAAGGCTGCTACGAGGTCTCCAAGCAGCCTTCTCCAGGCGGAACAGCCCCAAATATCTCAGCCTATCTTCATGCGGGAGGTGCTCCAGGCCCCTGATCATCCTCGTGGCCCTTCTCTGGACTTGTTCCAACAGTTCCATGTCCTTTTTATGTTGAGGACACCAGAACTGCACACAATACTCCAGGTGAGGTCTCACAAGAGCAGAGTAAAGGGGCAGGATCACCTCCTTGAACCTGCTGGTCACGCTCCTTTTGATGCAGCCCAGGATACAGTTGGCTTTCTGGGCTGCAAGTGCACACTGAAGCCGGCTCATGTTCATTTTCTCATCAACCAACACCCCCAAGTCCTTCTCTGCAGGGCTGCTCTGAATCTCTTCTCTGCCCAACCTGTAGCTGTGCCTGGGATTGCTCTGACCCAGGTGTAGGACCTGGCACTTGGCATGGTTGAACTTCATATGGCTGGCACTGGCCCACCTCACAAGTGCGTTAAGGTTCCTCTGGATGGCATTCCTTTCCTTCAGCATATCAGCCAAACCACACACGTTCTGGTTTACCAAGCATCCAGGCCAATGAAATGCATGTAACTGTAAGAATTGTTAGAAATTTTTTTTTAATCTGGTTTATGTGTTTGTAGGTGATTATGATATTTATGGGGAAAACTATGAACATTCACAGTATGTTTTTCCCATGCTGTTAAAAATGAAAGCATTGAGAAGCATGACTCACAGTGAGATTGTATATTCTCCTTCCTCCCCCTCCAGTAAAGTTTGAATATAAAGTGTTACTATAACAGGTCCCCACCTGTTACAATCCTCAAAAGGAACAGCCAGTGTTTTTAAGGAGAACTTCTAAAGAAAACTATATAAACGAATCAGAGTAAATAATCCTTCCCTTCCCTTCCCTTCCCTTCCCTTCCCTTCCCTTCCCTTCCCTTCCCTTCCCTTCCCTTCCCTTCCCTTCCCCCTTCCCTTCCCTTCCCTTCCCTTCCCTTCCCTTCCCTTCCCTTCCCTTCCCTTCCCTTCCCTTCCCTTCCCTTCCCTTCCCTTCCCTTCCCTTCCCTTCCCTTCCCTTCCCTTCCCTTCCCTTCCCTTCCCTTCCCTTCCCTTCCCTTCCTCTTCTCTCTCTCTCCCCCTTTCTTTCCTTTCCATCTCTCTTCATGTTTCTTCACATCTTTGTCTTCTTTATTTTTCTCTCCATTTCTCCACTGCTTTTCTTTCTCCTCACTCCCTCTTTCTGCCCCCCCCCCCTTCTGTCCCCCTTATTTAGTGAAATTTTATTCTGGTTAGAATATCAAATTAGTGTTGTTTTTTTTGTTTTTGGAGGGCGGGGGTGTTGGAGAGAAGCAGTGGGGAATAGATGGCTAGAAAAAGAAAGTTAGTTTGCATAGTCTTGGGAAGAGACATTCCATGAATAATGCAGAAAATGGAACGATGAGAAACATTTTCGGAAAAGACTGCTTTGTGGGGTAGACAACTTCATTTATTCCAAAGAAAGGGCAACTCACACATCTTAGCAAATCAGTAGGACTGGCTGAGAATAATAGGTTAAATTACTTCACCTCTCAGCTGTCTCTGATCTTGGGGGCCCAAGGCACATCAGGCCACACCGAACAATTGGGCAGCCTGACACTAATTTAAAACACAGGCTCAAAGTATTGGTTCACTCCTTAAATCAATTACTGCATCTATCTGGAGACTTTTGTTGGTGAGTTTCATACGTGGCAAATAGAGTTAGCAAAAAAGACATACGGTGCACGCTATTCATTTTTTTGTGTGTAACAGTTATTATGGGTATGACAGTGGGAAAGACAAAAATACATTCTTGTGTGAGCAAAGTTCAAGTGGGAAGAGGGAATACACAGATATTTAAGATAGATCTAATCTTTACTGTGCATGTTTGCTTAAAGCAGCAAAGGCTCAATCCAGTGCCCATGAAAATCTATGGAAGTCTGCCTTTTGAATTCACTGGCTACTGTTCTGAACTCTTCGCACTACTGCGGGTTGAGTGTGGTGGATCATCTTTGAAAACACACAGAGGAATTGTGTGAGTCTAGTGGTTTGGCTCTGAAATCTCAGCTGCCAGCTGAATGCAGGTGATAGTCTCTGGGAACCTGTAGAAACTTATTTTTTTAAAATGTCTGTCTTCTCAAGAAACATTAATACCATTCACAGAGATTTTATCCAATTTTGCAGCAATTTAACATTTCTGCAGCTGCTCTAGTTTATCACTTCATTTGCCAGCTCTCTCTAATAGCATCTTTTCTGTATCGGGATCATCACCAGAGATTCCCACAGAAGCCCCTTTAATATTAGTTACTGATGAAGAAGGAATTAATTTAGTTTAATGGGTATAATTAGGAGCACGGTTTTGGTACATTGAACTTATGTTTTTAAAATGGTGTGTAGTTACCCAGATGTGGTGTAGGCAGGTTACTTAAGAACACTTTTGGGATAGGAAAAAGAAAATTAGCCAGCTGCACTGCTTCATGTGTTACATGTCTCTTCACAGGTGGAGCTTACTGGTAACAGCATTTATGAGTACATACATCCTTCTGATCATGATGAGATGACAGCTGTTCTTACTGCTCACCAGCCTCTTCACCCTCACCTCTTACAAGGTACTGTGTGATCTGTGATCAAACTACCACTGAAAAACTAAAAGAAGTTATAACCCGAGGCTGAAATGTGACAAGTTCGTATTTATTCAGTATGAAGCTATGTACATGAATGGAGGAGGAGCATGAACTTGAAACTGTGACCCAGGATTTTATTTTGTTGTACTAAAGGGAATAAGGTATCCTAGATTAAATAATGCTTTTCGTGTCATGGACTCCATGCAGTTTTAAACAGGTTTTCAGATTTTGCTCAGTGATCATTTAATCTCTGTTATTTTGTCATCACTGCTGAGGTTGCAGGAATATTGCAATAGTCTAGCTGTGCACAGCTGCAGCTATGTGGTCTTAGAGGAAAAATATCCCATCTGGGAAACTGGGAAATAGGAGGACACTTTTAATGTTTTAAACCCAGGACACTTTTAATGTTTTAAAAACAACTGTTTAATTTGAAACTTGGACAAAAAGCCAGACCTAATACCCTCCACTGGGTAGGAAGAGCAAAAATGGGTTTTGTAAATGACCTAGATTTAGAAACTCCTATAAAAAGTGATCTCTCCAGGAAAATAATGTCCTCTTGCCTTCATACTGGATCACTGATTCACCAAGCCTCTTCACACATCCTGTTCAGGTGCTGCAGATGATTCATCCACGTGTATCCATACAGTATGATGCTAGTCTGGATGGAGGGTCAGGAAAGACAGCAGAACTCTAATTGATTATGTGAACGCCTGGATCAGACTGTCCACCCTGGCTGTGCTCAGCCGCCACACATAAATATTAACATAACCCTTTGTGTATTACGTTGTTACTTCAGTGTCGGAACTACTATATAACTAACAAAAATGCGCTCATCTTTGCACTAACTATTTAGTAGCTTTTGTTTCCTTGGGGCAATATTTTGAACTTTAAAATATCAAAAATAATCTGGCTCTCATCATGTAAAATGTGCTTCCACATGCATTTCATAATTGCTTAATCAGTTGGGACTCACATTCTGCTAGTTTTTACTGGCCTTCTTAAGGCACATCTCCTAAAGATATGAGGAGCTTTGGGTTTGCACTGTGGTTCTGTAACAGTTCTATACAAGAATCAGTTCTGGTGCGTGTACATTTTCTGTACCTTGTGATCTCACCACAGTTCTGACTGCTGTGGTTTCATCAGTGCAGAACATTGTACCCTCTTCATAGTTTGCTCATTCCTCAGGCAGGGAGTTTGTTGTGTTTCTTAAATGTTGACTTTAAAGAAACCCAAACAAACCCAAGATTTTTTTTCTTTTTTCCTGCCTTATTGGTAAACAAAGGTAATACTTCTGGTATATACCCGTAACTTTTCATGCAGTTCTTCTGATATATACCCACTGTCTGGTTTGCTGGAAGCAGTGAGATAGCACACTAGCACAGCAGTTCCAGAAGGTTTGGGGGTTTTTGTCCAGAGCTAGGAACTGCCTGTTTCTTGCTTATATTTGGAAGTCTCTGGATGCTTATCTTGCCTGTTAGCATTAGTTTTCTGGAACAATCAGGTCTCTCTCATTTTAGCTACTTACGGTCAAATTTATTTCTTAACAAATTCTCATTATCGTGAAGTGTAATTCTGGTCTGGTTGTGTTTGGAAAGACTTTTCAAACTGTTAAGTTAAGTACTTGCAAATGTTTCAATCTGAAGTTCTGCTGATGGTATAATTAGCCCGAGATATATGCCTCCTTCTCTGTAGCTTTCTTTACCTCATTCTACATAGATGCTGTTTGTTATTAACATCAAACTCTGTTTTTTCAATAGTACAAAGGTAAAGGAAAATTCGCTTTGAAATGAGATCCATTTGCATATGTTTTGTTTTGTCTAAATTTTTGAGTAACAGAGGAAATTGATAAAAACCTCAGAAGAACAGGATCTCATTTGGATTTCTAGACTTGGAGAAGATGAAAAAGGAGTTAAGCTGAGTTCTGGTTTGTATAGGGATTATTTTATGTGAATCTGCTGTGTGTTTCTTCCTCACATGATGCATGGGTGTGCATGTTAGTATGTGTGTGTTAAAATTTCCAGAATCCATAGATAAATCTTTTAAAATGAACAATGACCAAATATCTATTTATATTTGTCTGCCCTGTGCCAGTAGTTCCTTTTTTTTTTTTTTCCCCAGCATATCCATTTTATGTATATATCTGGAGGTATAGCCTGAAACTACCTGGCCTGTGGAAATCAAAGCTGGTTTCCCATTTTTCTTCAGTTAAGCCCTGAAACCTCTTTAACAGGAATGCAGCAACGTCTGTCTGTATCTTAATAGGTATTTTGAATATTTAAATAAAACATGGAGTTCTACAAATAACTTAGGACAGAGGGAAGTTGAATGAAAGGGGCTTTTTTTTCCTAATAAAAAGGAAACCAGACTTCTTAAAGAGTTTTTTTTTGTCATTTTCATCTCTCTTAATATTTTAAACCGCATATAAATCATCAAGTCACGGAGTCTAATAAAAATTTTCCTTTTATAACTTTATTGTGTTATAGATCTCTGCAATCTGTGCTATTACTCAGGAGTTAAATGAATACTGCCCTGCAGACACAGACATTTATAACACAAATTTACAGCTTGGCTCATGCAACTTTACTTGCTCAATTTGTGTTCTCTGCTAATTCTCGGATATGTATGCATATTTTTAGTTCAGTTGCTATTTCAGCAGTTGTTGCTGGATAAGATCTGTCATGATAGAAATAAAATCACAAACATGAACATACATATCTATACTTTGTGATATTCCTTTACTGGTACTGAATAACTCAGAGTACAGGTTATTTTTATCCTCCAGTTTTACAGTCTTCATAAAGTTTGATGTTGTCCCTTTATTGATTTGTTCATTTGTTTTTAATCTTCTTCATTGTCCTTCATTATTCTCTTCAAACCTTCCCTTGTAGTTCAGTGCTTCATTAGTTCCATAGAAGCTTTCCTGAAAGACCAAACCTGAAAGCCATGAGAAAGGTAGAAGCCTTGCAGCTGCTGAGCTCTAGAAATCTTATTTGTATAAGTTTTATTTCTCAGGGAAATGCAAATTATTGCTCACTGCATAAAATCAGACATAGTGTGGGTTTCTCTGTTTTCATTCAGATAACTGAGCCTCAGAAATGATGCATTAGTTTAAAAGGCTAAAGCCTTCTTAAACTATAGCTTTTATTAATTCTTTTTTTATATTTGCCTTGGATATCCTAATGTTTCTGGTGCAAAAAGGCACATCTTCAAGCACAGAGAGCAGATACTTTCTTTCTTTCTTTTTTTTTTTTTTAAGGACAGTAAAAGTTCCTGAATAATTATATGCTGTCAGACTTCATAGCAATATTAAATGCAATAAAATTTGGGAAAATGAATGTTGGTGAACTGTCTGTCAAGTCATCACTCTTTAGATAAGTCCAGCGTGGTGTTGGGGCAAGTTATGCTGAGGAAAGATTCTGGGGCAAGAAATTAGAGGGCAGCAATGCTGAGAAGCATTTAAAAGTCATAAAGCACAAACAACTTGGTGTGAGCTCCAGTTGTGAAGCTGTGGCAAAAGGGGGAACAGGAAATCCTAGGGCATAAAAACAGAAAACTAGTGAGGAGGAATAGCAAGGATGAATAATTGTAATTTTGAATGGAATGAATAATAGTATTAGTGAAATGGACACTGGATTTTTCCGTATGATTCTGTTGTTCACTTTAAAAAAAGAAAAGGCAAGTTAGAGAAAGTACAGAAGAGAGCCACAAAAATGACTGAAGGACTGGAAAGGCTTATAATGAGAGACGAAAGAACACCATCTGTTTGGCTTATCAAAAAGAAGAACGGGAGGTGACTTGATTACTGTTTATGCATACTTCCAAGGGAAGAAAATACTGGGAACTAAAGGACTGTTTTAGAAGAAAAAACATATCAAGGGCCAATGTCTGTGAACTGAAACCACAAAAGCTCAAATTAGAATAATATACACATTTATAACTAGGAGTTTGATTAACCACAGGAACAAAATACTGAAGGAAGCAATGGTTTCTTCCTCTTTTGATGTCTTCAGATCAAGGCTATATGTCTTTATAGAAGATATGCTTAAGGCAGACAGAAGTTACTGAGCTCAGTACAGGGGTAACAGACTGAAGTTTAATGAACTTCATTGTACAGGTTTACACCTATGATCTAATGCTGTTTTTCTGTCCTTTAAAGTGTGCAAGCTATGACTCAATGAAAGCCATAAGCCTCATGATCTGTGGAGGCTTTGGAGAATTTCAGCTGTAACTTAAAAAGTCTTTAAACTGCCTTTTTACTTGCATGCCCAGCATTGAAAATGTAAAGCAATATGTACTGATCCCTTGCTATGAAAGAAACCAACAGCTGGACTTTCTTTCTGAGGGGATCTGGAGTTGGGAAAAGAATAATCTCTCTCACACAGACATTAAAGGTAGGGTATGCCTTAGCGAATCACCTCACATGAGACTTTAGGCCAACTTTGCACCAGTTGTAACAAAATTAATCCATTATATTCAACTGGGATAGATTAGCAGAAAAAAAAAAAGTATATAATTTGATCTTTTCCAAATGACGTGAACGACATGTACTGGCTGTGCTCAGATCTCAGATGACTTCACTGCCCCTTCATCCCTTCATACCATTCCAAACATTGCTTAATGTATTACTGGTCTGCAGCATTTTAATGTGTTCTGGCTTAGTTTTGTACCTGTGAAGCCTTACACCTCAGTTTTCCACTCCCTATACCATCTGTATGTGTTGCATAGGCTGATAAAAGGATTCTTGGGCCCCTATCCTAAGATATGCAACACTTAACTAGCAGAAATTTGGGAATTGTTCCATGATGTAGGGCTGAGAAACTGATTTCTTAGGATGTAGAAAAGTTGTGCTGATGTATGCTGTCTCTCCTTGTGCACTTACAACTCTGAAAGACCTTCTTTTTTTGTTTCTTCAAGAAATAACAATCTGGGTCCGCTGGATGCGATTCTCCTGCTGGATCAGAAGATAGTCATCCAGCAGGGTGGTT